TAAAGAAGTATGTTACACAAGTATGACACAGAAGTACGTTACAGTAGTATGACACAGTAGCATGGTACAGTAGTATGACAGTAGTATGGTACAGTAGTATATGACACAGTATTATCGCACAGTATTATGGCACAGTAGTATGACACAGTAGTATGGTACAGTAGTATGGCACAGTAGTATGGTAAAGAAGTATGTTACACAAGTATGACACAGAAGTACGTTACAGTAGTATGACACAGTAGTATGGTACAGTAGTATGACAGTAGTATGGTACAGTAGTATATGACACAGTATTATCACACAGTATTATGGTACAGTAGTATGGTACAGTAGTATTGCACAGTAGTATGGTACAGTATTATCGCGCAGTAGTATTGTACAGTATTATGGCACAGTAGTATGGTACAGTAGTATTGCACAGTAGTATAATACAGTAGTATGGTACAGTAGTATTGCACAGTAGCATGGCACAGTAGTATGGTACAGTAGTATGGCACAATATTACGGCACAGTAGTATGGTACAGTAGTATGGTACAGTAGTATAAATCAGTAGTATGGTACAGTAGTATGGCACAGTACTATGGAGCTGTGGTATGGTACAGTAGTATGGCATAGTAGTATGGCACAGTAGTATGGAGCAGTAGTATGGCACAATAGTATTGAGCAGTAGTATGGTACAGTAGTATGGAGCAGTAGTATGGCACAGTAGTATTGAGCAGTAGTATGGAGCAGTAGTATGGCACAGTAGTATGGCACAGTAGTGTGGTACAGTAGTATGGAGCAGTAGTATGGCACAGTACTATGGATCAGTAGTATGGTACAGTAGTATGGAGCAGTAGTATGGCACAGTAGTATGGTACAGTGGTATGGCACAGTAGTATGGCACAGTAGTATGACACAGTAGTATGGCACAGTAGTATGACACAGTAGTATGGCACAGTAGTATGGTACAGTAGTATGGTACAGTAGTATGGCAGTTATATTAATATTAACTTAATACCATACATTACATCTTCATTTAACCTTAACCTTGTGAAGTTAAGTTCTAGCTGAATTAGCTATTAATATAAATTATGTTTTTGAAGAACTATAAAAATTCTCTTGAACGTCTTAGGAAAAATGGTATATGTTGTATTCACGTAAGCATATAGTAATGCAACACACAGGATAACTGAAGACACAAAGTCAATGACAGCAGACAAATTGACCGTCAAGTCATTTGTTTGGCATATGCACTAGCATATATTCACCTAAATCTAAGCTTTCAGGCAATA